TACGCACTGCGACTCAGTCGTCCCACCTCTCGCAGAGGATGGCTAGATGGCTATCCTTTTTTGCCGAATTTAACTTCGAGGTGAAGTAAGCCGGGAAAGCAGAATGCTTTGGCTGATGTGTTGTCACGCAGACCAGACTATGAGCTTGCTCATGTTACGTCTGTAACGTCATCTGTGACAGATTTGATCCGCACCGTGTATGCGGGATGTGTGTAGCGTTGCTACGGGCTCTAAAGAGCAAGGAGTTTAGAAACTCGGACAAAAAATTGTCATCACGAATGCGTGAACGATTGCACCGATATTCGTTGTATGACGGCTTTCTATATTATAGCACCAATTCAACGTATAATCGTTCCGATTTGAAATATCGCATCCTATATTTAAAATTTGCTCTTTTTTTTGAATAAAACCTTCTAAATTAATATACATTCCATTTTTTCTAAAAAAGTTAATCCTGGTAAAATTAAATTCGAATTTTGTGCATCTTGTGTTGGAAATGTCGACAGCGGATCATCCGCAGACCGATGACCAAAACAAAAGGGTGAACCGCGTCATCGAAGACGTTCTTCGCAACGTTTGCGCTGAGTCGCCGAGGCGCTGGAGTGCCATGTTGCCACTTGTAGAGTTTGAACTGAACAATGCATTGCATTCGTCTACCGGCTACGCGCCGTTCTTCGAGAATAGGCTGTTTCACCCTCGCGTCCCGCTTACACCGCCATTCCATGGCTCGGAGCTTGGTGGGTGAGGAATTGCCAAACGGCTAGCTGATGTCAGATTCCCCACCATCCGTAAAGAAGTCGATGACTTCTTGTCTACCAGACTGAGTGTCCTACGACACGTTCGCGATGCGATGGCAAAAGCCAAGACTTGCAAAAAGAATATTCAGATGAAAAAGGAAAAGGCAAAGTGGAAAGCTTTAAGGTCGGGGACCTGATTTTATTAAATTCTTGAAACCTGCCTACACATGCAGCCTCTGCTGTCTTCAGAACGAAGCTTCGTCCACGGTTCATCGAACCGCTTAAGGTTGTGACCAAGCGGGTCCTAGCGAATACGCTGAACCTCCCGAAACGAATGCGCACCCACACGGTGTTTTAAGTTGGGCTTGCTCAGGCCGTTCCGGGATCCGGCGCAAGTAAACGGAAGCGTTGGCGCCGGTGCGAATCCCACGGGCCGGCGGCCACCCAGAAGTTGAACCAGCAACTGGTTCTGAGCACGGAGTGCAACGACTTCCAGTTCCAATGGAGCCAAGCGCTCCACCGTTGCCTACAGCGATGCATTCGCCTGCTCCACGGCTAGGAGTCGCTCCGACAGAGAGCGGTAGTCCTCAAGGCTAGGCAACCGGCGCACGTCGTGCTTAAAATCGTCAAGAGCGTTCGCACAGCAATATGCTACTTCAGCATGACGCTCAGCGGAGCTCCGATTACTAAGGACCTTGTCCTCAAGGGCTCGAAGAGCGTCACGAGTCACCGGATGGCGGTCGACCCTGTCGTTACCGCCCGCCACCGACTCTTCTCGATGAGAACGGTGACGTCCAATATCATGTGAAACGTCTAGTACGTCGACGTCGTCACCAGGGTCAAACCCAATATCTGGTGAAGTGGCGGGGATATCCCGACCTTGTAAACTCGTGGGAGTTTGAGACGCCACTTCGGTAAGATTGCCCAGACGCCGTGGACGCTTTTGATCAGAAAGACCGGGACGCCCCACGCTTCCCGGCAATAGCCAGGGAAGTAGAAGGCCATGAGCCGAGCTCAAGCGGTAGCTCGATCTCTTGCGGTCGCTGACACAGAGCTCGCGGGAGCGTTAGGGGTTGACCCATACGTCGCAGAGCAACAATCTGAAGGGAGTCGACGGCGTGCTTTGAATTTGGCGAACTCAAGTAGAAGGTGGCGCTCCGCACGCACGTCCACTTCCTTGTGGCTCAACCGTAAGGCATACAGTGAGGAAAGTTTTCGGTGCCGTTGCACTATCGCTCAAAGAGCACTTCGTCAACTTTTGCGCTTTCACCAGGGGCGAGCACGACAGGCATCGCCCGCATTGCGGGTACACGAGAGTCACCTCGTTGAGCACGTAGACGAGTGCGATAAACGTCGAACGGAATTTCTTGAAGGACCAAGAAACGAGCTCGAAGAGCTATACGTTCGGCAAGCCCAGCTCCCGTAATGGCCGGGGCCCGAAGATATGGACGCGTGACAATCGAGTTACCGCGTCCTTCGCTTCCACAGAGGGACCCGCCGGGCGGAAGCCATATTCCACACGAGGGCCAATAACTGACCGTGGATGGGCGGGCATCAGAGCCACCTTACGGGCAGCTCTCAGCTGCCGCCTCTGTGCCTTGTCGAGGTCATTCGGGATTACACCACGTCCCTCAGGTGATGAGAGATCAGGAAACGGACATGGGGTCCGCAAGGCGCGAGCAGGGCTCGTCTCATGCCGCTGGCGCGGCTCGCCTTCCTCGTCTTTCCACCCGAAAAATGGGGCGTCAGACTCGTAGTTGACCACCTCCACATCCCCAACGAATCCACTCGTCACTGATACCGTGCACGGAGCACGACGCTTCGGCTCATCAAGCTTACGGTTTATAACCCTCGATGCCGCGGACACACGGTACGACATGGCACCGCGTGTGGAAGAAGAAGTTGTGCTCTGCCCATGAGCGATGTCGGAACCAGCGAGAATCGGAGACTTCGGTGTAATTGACACAGGGCTCATTGAGCACGGAAGCCGTTTCGTTTCACCGCAGTCACTAACGGACACGCAAGCCTCGTTTGGGCAATAATCGATTGGAACTGTAAATGTTCTCAATCGAGATGGGGAAGAATGTAACGGGGTTACACATACCCTAACAGGGGTGTGTGTCACACCATGTGGTCATGGTGTGACCACACCCAAACAAGAATACGGTATGGGGCTGGATAACCAGTAGTTATACATGGATTTAGATTGTACTATACATATTTTGGAA